AATCACCTGTTCCTGGGACAAAGTGAGTAAGGAAGAGGAGCTGTAGCTCCTGGGATGCTGCTGGCAGGGAAGTTATTCCTGGCCTCCGCCTTTGGACTGTGTCCTTGTCCAAAAATGCAACAGTGCCCATCAGATTGCAACCCTGGAGTCCAGACGCAGCTCATCTCCCTCTTTGCCATTTTTCAGGCACAGATTAAAAAGTTTCTAAAAGAAAAGACAACAAACCAAAACAACAACAAAAAAAACCAACCCCAGAACAAACAACCAACCCTCAACCTCCACATTAGAAAGTTAAGACTGTTGTTCTCTCAGGGTGGTGCATTCCTGGTAGGTGCTTGGAGGCCAGAAATGGAAACAAATGAAAAGTGAAATGCGTCAATTTAAGTTGTAAGCGTAGCATCCAGTTAGTTTAAATATTTCCAAGTAATTGTCAGTGGAGTGCTGTGAAGTTAACCTAGCAAAAGGACAAAGCATTTGGCAAGCACTGAGTTTTGACTCTTCTGTTGAGTACTTAATGGCTCAGCAAACAGCTGAAATGAAGCCTTGGCTAGAACCCAGCTTGTGTTCTCTGTGGTTATAGCAAGCAGAAATGGTCGTCCACAGCAAACACTTGGCAGTCTTTCTGGAAGTTGGTTTTTCTTCTCAGTGGACCAAAATGAATATCATAAAGTTTTTGTTATTACAAAAAAATAATAAAATTGATCCAAATACTGTTTCTATTATTCTTTTGGTATTACTCTTCTTGATACTTCTCTGACATTAATAGTGGAGGGATGACTGTTGCTTGGATGGAGATTATTATAGTATAGTTCAATAAGGCTGCACCCCAAAAGAATAATAAAAACAACCTGGAAGTCTGAAAGAAAAGGAAAGGCTTCATAAGAAGCAAAAGTGGCTCATGAAAATAAACCATATTTTTCCAGTGGTTTACTGCAACTGTCATCACTAAAAAGTGTTTTTATTTTTAGTACGTTGTGGTAAGTGTTCTGCAGCTATTTTATGCAATAGCAAATTAGAGTAGGGATGAACATATGCCAACATATTGCATCCAGTCTTTTTTTTTTTTCCTGGAGCTGGAGCTATAGAAAAAGGCATTCATTTATTTCCTGACACATGCCTGTTACTCCCATTACATTAATGGGAGTTGCATAGGTACTAGGAAAAGAACATGCTTCAAAGGCCTGCTCATCTGATTGTGAACACAAATGATTTATTGCCCCTGTGAATGACAAGGAGTCTTGGAAAGTGCTGCACTTCTTTATGTCATTTTCTGGCTTGGAGTCATGTATTTATTCACTTATATTACAAAAGATGTGAGAGTTGAGCTGTTTTGTTTTCTATTAAAAATCACCTGGCTTTAAACAAGATGAAGAAGCAGCTATGATGTGGTGAATTCCTTCAACAGATGTAAAGCAAAGGAGTCCAATTCATCCACTTATATAAATGCAATATTGATATGACAGTCACTTGAAATAGCTATGCCCCTTATTCAACCAAGCACTTAGAGATGTGCTTAAATCTGTCAATAGTCAACAAATCATGTAAAAGAATTACCCTAAGAGTAACTCTCACTAAGTAAACAGGATTTGAGCAAAGTGATTACTGTTGAATGCTTTGCTGAACGGGGGTGGAATTCGTTAAATGTCACCTCTTCATTATTGAACTGGCATTTTATGAGCTAGCAACAACTTTGATCTAAAATTCTCTTATAAAATGCCAGTTCAGTGTGGGAAGCATTAGAGTACAGCTCCCATTGCAAACCTCCAGACACACTGAATTCACATCACATTTCCTGTCCTCTATTTGGAAAACTACTTTTTTTCTTCTGAAAAAGGGAGGTTTAATGTTTTCTAGAAAAAAAGGAAATAAATTTTTAAAGCTTCATGTTCTGTTTGATTGAATGTCACATTGTAGTTGGCTGTACTTTGGTTTTGTGCGGCAAATAATACAAAAGAGAGTAACTTTCTCATTTTGGGAGGCAGGGGGCAACACGGATGTAAACTTCTGTTTTGTTTACGTTTTGTTTCCTTTACTTCTCTTTCCAGTAATGTTGAATGTATAAAACTCTTGCAAAGCAGTGGAGCTGATTTCAATAAGAAGGACAAATGTGGGAGGTAAGTAAATTATGAAACTTATTTGAAAAAGAAAAGAACCTAGAAGGCAAGGAAGAAAGACTTGCCTCAGTCTGGAAATCCTATCTTTTATGAAAAATGACAGTAAAATGAAGTAGGGGTTTGGCCTTCCCTGCAGAACTCTTGCTGCCACAGTTATATGCCAGACAGACAGGTGCAGACTTCATTAAATACATAAAAGCCATCCCACCTTCTTGAGTTTTCTGGTTTAAAAATATCACAGGTTTATTTTTTTTCCTGACTGCTTCTCTCATTGCCTGAATTCTTGTGCTTGTGTGCCCAAGACAACACCTGGGTTACAATGGGAGGATTGCTGTGATTTATGTACCTCCTGGAGGTTTTTTCCCCCCATATGAAGTGTTGCTGTGCCACCTAAATAAGATGCTGTGAGGGACACTGTGCTTTGCTCTGCCTCCCAGCAGGAAGAAAGTAGCATGTATGGCAGAACAGCAGCAGCGGCTGTCACTGGAAATAGGTTGTTTACAAGGCACAGGTTGGTGATCTGTATCCCATTAGGCTTTGTAGGAGCCCCAAAACTTCCTATTAACACAATATTTTGTTAGATTTCCATAACTTTGCATTTCATCACAGGAACATAAGGCACTGATGTTGAATGCTGGAAATCTGTAGCACTGCAGCAGTTAAGATTGCTTATTATCCCTGGTGGTACATATTGGAATAGGAGGTAACACATTGTCACTTATGTTGCAGGACACCTTTGCACTATGCAGCTGCAAATTGTCATTTCCACTGTATTGAGACACTGGTGACAACAGGAGCCAATATTAATGAAACAGATGACTGGGGACGCACCCCTTTGCACTATGCTGCTGCTTCTGACATAGACCGAAAGTAAGGAACCCTCTTTGTATTCCTTGTTTGAAGTGTTCTGCTAAATTAGAGTCATTCTATTCTCTTCATGATGCTATTTCACTCGAGCCAAAAAAATGATCCCGCTAGCAAAGGAATTTCTCTCAGATGTATGCATAACTCCACACTGAGTTGCTCTGACTATATGCCAAATCCCAAATGATGTGGCATTTCAGCTCAGTTACTTTTGATGTAACCCACAGTTTTGCAGCCACGGTGTCCTACTGAACTATTTCCACCACAGTCTTCTGTTTTCCTCTGTGTGGTTTCCTCACAAGAGTAAGCTCAGAGAATTTTCTACATCTGCTTTGCAAGTCCATCAGAAGGGATGGAGCAAGAGACAGCAGGAGAGGTTTTCCTAGGTGGGCTGCAGTGACAGGAAGACATTTAGCCATTCAGACAGACTTTCTTGAAGAGATGGGGTTAGAACTACCCATCAGTCTCTCTCCACTGTCAGAGCTGATAAAAATGCTCCTCCTGGCCAAACAGGTTGCTTTCAGAGACTTTAAAAAGAGAGAGGACTGGGGAATATCCTTTGGCAGAATGCAGTGTTGTTCTTGTGAGAAGGGGGAAAACAGCTGCAACACTTAGAAATCCTGTGGTTAGTGACTGCAATTCCTAATTCCCAGATAGCTGCATATTTTGGCAGTCTCTTCCTTATACTCTACAAAACAAGCTCAATTATCCTGTTAGTTCTCTCTTAAAACTGTTAGTGACCTGTATTTATTTTAGGTCATCCCATGTTTCTCTGTCTCATTCCTCTAGACACTAAGGTTTCTTGTGTAGTGAGGTCTGGTAAAAATATATCTGAGGCTGAGGCTTCACAGGAAAACTTTGGCTTAACTTTATGGTGGAGGTTTGGATGTCACACCAGAGCCTTGGTAGCTTCTTCATTTGCTGTGATGATACTAATATAGAAGATGTCTTCCCTATCGCCCTCAAACCTGAACAGTGCTGGGAAGAAGGCATCAGGATCTTCAAAGGTCTGTGCTTGGCATTACAATCAGAGTAGGCTTGTAGGAAGGCTTTCACCACTGTCCTTTCCTAATTCTGCCTTACTCAGGAGAGGTGTTACTTGGGATGTTGATAGTGTGATTTGGTGTGTGGTTTTCAGCTTTTGGCTCTTAGTAGGTGAAGTTCCTGCATTTAAACAAGCTCTTGGTTAACTTCAGGATGTATCTACTTCCATCCCTAATTAAAAAGAAAAGCTTGCTTTAGTCACATCCTGAACATTGTCAGGAGTATGTGGCCTTTATTTGCCCTCGTGGTCCAAGCCTAAATTGAATATGATGTTGTGATACTGTCTTCTCATTAAATTTTCCAGTTTGAGATGCTCTGGAAGAGGTCTTGTTACACAAATGAAATGCCGTTTGCAGCCCATGAGTTTATAGGTCAGCTTATTTTTTTTCTTGCTGAATGGC